ATGTTAACTGATATCAAGGGTTTCTTTAAAGTGATGTTTTACAGCTTAAACACTGCAGTCAGGGGAGTAAAAGCCAAAAATATGGTGGAAGCAGCTCCAAAAGGCAACACTGATGGAATGGTTCATTGTGTTAGTGAGTGGTCCTGATTGCTTTAACAGAATAAGTGTGTGAGAGAGATTTCATAGCCCTTAGGTGTCTACAGAGAACAATAACTGCTCTGCAAGTGTAATTATCTGATATTCTACATGATTCACATAAGGATAATGAAAAATAGATTATCTGCATGGTGTAATTAAACAACACACATTTGTGATCATATAAGCAAGTACTGTAGTCTAGGATGTACACAATCGCTCAACTAATATGCCAACATCAAATGCTGTTAACAAAACCCATTTTGTTCTGTTTCACGACATTTAACATTACTGTTTAACATTTAGTGAAAAAGGCTAAAGACTAAATGTTTCCCCCCAAATTTTAGGCTACAGGCACATTACACAAATTTATCGTCAGCTGGAGATAAAAGAAAAAGGGTGTGGGGTGGGGGGGGGGGTGTAAAAAGGATCCATTGTTGTTTAGGATTCCTCAGAGATCATCTGACTCATCTCTGCCAGAGAGAAATTACTCTTCAAACCATGGTTACTTGGTGCATGGGGCACAATGACAGCAGTCTGTATGTGGAAAATAAAACCCAAAGGTCTGGACTACAGATTGCCACTCTAAGACCGCTTGATTTGACATAAACTGGATTTTTTACTGCCTTTTTATCTGTTATGCCTGGTTCACATGGTGGAAATTAGCGGAAGATCTCACAATGTCCATGCAAATATGCACAACGTTACTTTCAAGATAAGCTGATCTTAGTCTAAAACTTTGAAACAAAAGATGTATATATTATTATATATTGTACTGTTGCCATTTCCAAAGACATTATGAAGACCAAATCTGTAAATATACCGTATTATAATAACGGTCAATTTATTGCTTGCCCCAAATTAACAATGAATAGTAACGGTGGCTTTAGTTTTCTAATTAAGATGTATTAAATGTCACTTTTAACCCCTTTTTGATACAGAGAAACACTGAAGTAGTCAAAAAGACCAGTTTAGGTAAAAACTCAAGGCCTTCAATATTTTAGAGTATTTTGTAAAAAAAAAAAATGCTATAATCTTTTTTAGTTTCTGACAATTTGTCACTAACTACAAAATAATTTTTAAACTGCATGTCTGCATCACAAAGACAAAATTTAAACAGCATCACACAGCACAATAACTTTCCATTACATCAAATGCTGCATTGTGTTTATAAGCAAACAGCTTAAACTGGAGTTAGCATATTTATAGAATTAATTGCACACATGAGTTTTATTTATTTTAGGTTTAACAAAGCCTTTCAATAATGAACCTGATCTTGCTGCCACAGCAACGACTTCTTTGTCATAGCTGGCTGATGAAACTAAGACTTTGAGTGTGAAGCAAATTTAGGTTTGATTCAATATTTCTCTCCAAGCCTATCTATAAAAACACATTTAGTAGTCTCAGTTAACTCAGTGTGACACATTTAATACAAAATATGTATGTGTCACAGCATTTTATTGCCTGCAACTGGGAAAATGTTCTGTTGCTCAGTAGATGTGCAAAAAGAAGATCCCAGACACTGAGTGATGCAGAGATCATCTCCACGTGGCCTTAAGAGGTGATGGGAGTTTAATATAAGGCTGACAGGTCTAACAAGATTGAGGTCATCCTTGCACTAATAACTCAGTGAGGAAATATAGGATCTGTCGCCACCATTCTGAGATGGGGGGACCTGACAGTTCAGTTAACACACTGGTAAATTTAGTGGAGGGCACTGACTCTGACCTATCTAGTTTCAAACTCACACAGAAACACAGCCAGACTTATGAATGCTGCAGCAGTGATGGTTGTTTTCTCGCTTGGCTGAACTACTATATAT